GAATGTGTCTATGATACTAGTTATTTGCCAATCTATTTCTGGAAAAGTTGATTTAGAGCTTCCAATATCCGAAATTTGAATCGTTTTCGAATCTTTAACTTTACATTTACATCATTCCTATTAATTTTTATAGATGAAAGATAATGAATCCATACCTGAAAAGAAGGATTTAACATGCACTACGGCTATTTATGAAAAGGGAGTTAATTTGTACGAATTAGATTTTGCAAATACTACAGGAGCCCCTTCATGCATATTATTAAACAATTATGGTAGAGCAAGGAAAGGAGGAAAACTTTCCCAGGCAGAACAGCCTGTAGATTCGCAGGACACTAAAGAAAATAAAAATGATCAACTTTTTGATCATAACAAAGGAGGTATAAAATTTATTTAAAAAATTTTGTGAATATCGTGTCCCATAATAAACATATTTTTCATGATATCTCGACAGTCAGGGGACGATAAGGGGTGAAAAAGATATAGGGATCTGCGTTCGGCAAAAGTACCAACAGAGAGACACCAACAGAGGCCCTAGGACCAACATAGAGACTAGCAAGAGATACAGAGACTAGTAACACCAACAGATGCCCTAGGACCAACTGAGAGACACCAACAGATTGCCCTAGGACCAACAGAGAGACACCAACAGATGCCCTAGGACCAACTGAGAGACACCAACAGATGCCCTAGGACCATCAGAGAGACACCAACAGATCCCCTAGGACCATCAGAGAGACACCAACAGATGCCCTAGGACCATCAGAGAGACACCAACAGATGCCCTAGGACCATCAGAGAGACACCAACAGATCCCCTAGGACCATCAGAGAGACACCAACAGATGCCCTAGGGCCAACTGAGGGACAAAAACAGATGCCCTAAAACCATCAGAGAGACAGACCGACCCTTTCCTTTTCCCTCATAGGAAGGCGGAATATTCTAAGTTTAATCTTATCTTATAATTTTACAACAGATTGGAATAACGCAATAATTATTCACCATCCACAACAAGGTATGGCAATTCTTTATTACTACTGTAAATCGCATTTAGGTTGTAATGATACTAATATTTAAAATAAATTTTAGATTCCAATGTAGATTATAAGTCAAATAAAATTATCAAACTTCTTCGTGCTAAATATGATGAAGCCAAAAGAAAAAAACAAACACCTAAAGCATCTGCTGCGGCCGATGAAGTTAATTATGAATTCGATATAAATGTTATCACTGAAAGGATGGCAGAAAGATGCTTTGAAATGTTTTCTGAAGGAAACAAGAATAGAAATTTCTGTCTTAAATATGGCAGTAAAAATATAGGCACAAAAGTTGGAAAAAAACGAAAGGTTCAGACAAGCAGGAAATCGCATGCGAACAAAAAAACTAGATTGATAAGCAACATAATTCATGACTCTAATCAAACAAACAATCCTCATGAATTAGGTCCTAATTATTCCATCCTTGAAAGCCAATTTGTGGGCAACAATGCTGGGAGTGGCTCTAGTTTTTTGGGATCTGACAAAGAAACTAGTATGAATGCCATTAGATTTGATAATGTATTGCCAGAAGTTAATGAAGAAAACGCTAATGGAGTTCAACCAAGCAAGTTTTGATTAAACATTATAGTATTAGTTCAACAAAAGTCAATTAACAGGGAGGTATCGAACATCGGACCTTACTGACAGAGCTTATTGGCAGTGCTCGTTCGGGAATTTCAATTATTGGCTCCGGAATTTTAAAAATCCTGTCTCCGGCTAGCTCCCGGATCATACCTATCACTGATTATAGACTTCACATACTACAAATCCACATTTCCCTCATCTCTCAGACTAGCGTTCTATTGAACTCAGTTTAATTTTAGCTCAAATGAGCAACGGAGAGAGTACAGTTCAATCTCATAATTATTTCGCTGATGAAAGCAGTTCCAACAGCGCTGTGAATGGAGCAAGCTTGTTTCTATCAGACAATGAATCTGTTACAAATGTTCATAGTAGTGTTAACGTTAAACCTAGCTTAGAAGCTGTTGAAAAAATGGATGATTATTCGAAATATTTTTGGAATGATGATGAACCTCTAAATCTAGGTAAGCATTAAATATGAATAACATCATAAATCTCGAACTTTTGAACGAACGTTTTTCGTCAAAAATATTCGCGAATTCCCTTATATTTTCTAAAACATATGAGCCTAAAGTCATATGCTCACAATTTTTGCGCCCTCAGATTTAATTTTATTCAGATTAAAGCTTTAAAATCTTGACAATAATTACACTAAACAGATTCAATTTTTTCTCCTCACCAACAAATGCAAGAGGATGATTCGACTACACATTAAGTAAGTTTTAATTTTACTATAGTAAAGCGGCTAGACCTATCAAAACATAGCAAAGCTGGGAAAAAGGCTGGGTAAGTCGAGTACCGAGTAATTGGGGGGAAAATCGAGTTCGAGTACGAGTTCAACTTTTTAGCCTAGTTCGACTACGAGTAAATCGAAATCTCATTCAATCCTAAAGATATTCGCTACTATAATAATATTTATTGAAGATGAGCTCCATTCATAGGTACAGACTTGAAGCAATGCCGTTTATTCATTTTCAAAGAGAGGCGCTCATTTTTAAAATGTGGAACAGATTGTATATTCAAATTCAAATTTTTTCTCTATCCGTTAATTTCAAAAGTTTTTTTGTGAAATTAGGGTCACCAAAAACATATCAAATTATGTATATTTTTCTGAATCTATGGTCATTTTTCTTGGGTAATGCCTTGGATTATTTCATTTAATTCGTAATGAATATCACAATGATACAATTTCACAATGTTGTATGCAGAATTATGTAGCCAAAAAATAAAAAGCTAGCTGATTTATCAACTTTTTGGTGACCAAAATTTCGGATACTCTTGTCCTACCACATAACTAAAAATTCATTTAACGTTTATTATTTATGTATTATTTATACAAAATTTATTTTATAATTTTATTTTTTAACATTTAAAATTTATTTTACATATGTATTTATAGTTTAAATTTAAAAATTTTATTCACTATATTTTTAAAATCAGATTCCCAATATAAATATTATCAATTTTTTAAATGTTAATTTGTATTTATCTACTGATTGGCTTTAAAAATTTAATTATACTTTAAAAGCTTGACCCTAGGCAAGTATCGTCTAATTATAGCAGTTAAGGTGCACTACCAACTGAGCTACTGCTTGGTCCACTGGGGCTCGTTTAATAAATCAAATATGATCAAGAGGATTTCCCTATCTCCACGAAATATTAATATAGTATATAGTTGATTTTATTTAATCAACTAAAAGATTGAAATACTTAAAAATTTAACTGGGTATTATGATGATTTTGCTAATGATTTGATAATAATAATGTTAATAATAATGTCAATTATTAATAATAATAATAATTAATAATAATAATAATTAATAATAATGGGGAGCAGGCCAAGGTACCGCGAGCCCAAGGTACCGCCGAGCTATAACTTTCTTCAAAATTGTCGAATCCGGGACGCCCTGGTATGGTTCGATTCAGCTCGTCGAGACGCATCGAACCATACCAAGGCGTCCCAGATTCGACAATTTTGAACAAAGTTATAGCTCGGCGGTACCTTGGCCTTGCGGTACCTTGGGGTGTACCCATAATAATGATAATAATCATGATTTTGATAGAAGGCAAACCGGAAGTCTTTGACTTAGCATACTTTTATGCTTAATGTTTATTAATCTTATTGATACTGTACAAAAAATGAAAAGGAAATTAAGATAATGTTTAAATTACATAAAAAATTACAAAATTTTAAATTACAAATTTTTTAAATTTCTTTAAAAAAATCTTTCAAAATAAGACAAAATTATTTCTTTTGTGAGTTCCTCGATTACTTGGAAAGTTTCTTCATTATTCATAGTCTGTATAAATTTAATTTTTAATAAAAAAATTTTATCTATGTAACCTTCATCACGTTTGTGTTTCCCAAGAAGTGATTTAGGTTTTTGTTGATGAAATTCATCCTTATTTGGAAGAAATTGAAGTACTGCATCTTCTATTAATAATTTAAAATTATAATTCTACTTTTCTAAATAAAAAGAAAGTATGCTGGGGCCTTTCTGTCACACATTACCATTATATTCCCTAAGGATAGCAAAGAATATGCTGGCCAGACCCTAGCTAATACCTTTACTCAAACGCAGCGTTGTGTTTTTCTTATGAAGAACGAAGACTGATCAACTGGGCTCTGATCTATTAGAGAAGGGTATTATAAACTGAAGGTAAACCATATTATAAACTTAAGGTAAACCTGTAAGTTGCATGTTTCACAGGAAATTGTGATAAAAATTTAAATGATAGGAAAAATTATCACATAATCTCGCCTTTAAGATCAACTACAGATCGGGTTATCATTTTTTACTCGATTTTTTTTTGTCATCCTTATTGATCTATTTAATATTTTGTTAATTCCTATTTAATTTCAAATAAATTCTATAACTTGCCTATATATTCATTTGAATGCTCAATTTCAAAAATTTTGCGAAAATTCTTCATATCGTCTACATAGGTTTTATAACGTTCACTTTTCTCAATAATTTTACCTTTTCCCTTGCGTTGAGCGACTTTATTTCGGTTAATAAAACCTGGCGGAATTTCAGCATCTTCCGGTTCAGGATCATTTTCACTAAATTTTGATGTAGCCATCATGAGATTTTCATCTTTTTCTTTACCTTAATTTTAGAAAATTATTAAAAAACATGGTACTTTTCAGTTATGGGGTCACACTTTTAAAATGTTCTTACGAGAACCTAAGACAAACCGATAGGTTTTAGACTAATAAATGTTCGAGTTTCTTTGGCTTTAAATAAAGCGTAGTTTTGACCATTTCGAGCCCCTAAAATTTTAATGTCATTTAACTCAGCTCGACGAGCACCTTTGAATGACTGGCTCGTCGATTACCTATTTTAAATTAATTTTAAGAGCTAGCTGAAATATTCACTTGAATTTTTAATTCCATGAGTATTACGAAAAATTTCCGAAAGTTCTTCATAAGTATTATAACTTCCATCATTCCCGTTATTATTTGCAGTATTATCATCTTCCATTTCGTCGTCCAATTCAATCAGTTTACCTTTCCCTTTATTTTGGGCATCTTGATTTCGATTAATATACCATGACGGAATTTTTTCTTTCTGCGGTTTTTTATCAGCTAACAAATCTAATTTTGAAATATATTTCTTAAATTTGTCTTCAGCCATTTTTTCATTTTCGTTTAATAAATTGATAAAACCATTCTCTGATTCATTTATTTCCAATTTATTTTCATTTAATAAACATTCTGTTTTTGAGGTTTTTCTTGGTTTTCTTTTTTTATTGTTAGCTTTTAATATGCGAAACTCGTATTTATTTAAATTATTATTTTCGTGAATAGGCTGTGGGCATTTTAGTGTATATTCAATATGTCTGTAGTTCTAAATTTTCGAATTAAATTTTTATTAAAATTTTGATAAATTTATGAGAGATGTCATTGAACCATTATAGAATGATCCAAGGTTATAGCACAGTTAACTGTGCTATCATCCAGCCCAATAATGGATTATATATTTTATTGGGTTATTCTGCGTGCATGGTATAGCCCTAATTAACATATCCTGTATAGGATTACAACAGTCCATCTTCACAGAAATACAGAATTACACCATTCATTACTTATGTTGGCTCTGTAGCCAAGAGCCACGAACGAATTTTAAATTATAATATTAAATTTAAAAAATCGCAGTTAAAGTAAAATATGTCAGTTTATCTAATTTCTGCCAGTTTTGTGTAATAACGTCCTTTCCTAGTAGATAGTTTAACCCGCGCCTATCGTTTGAAATCATCCTAGGTGTATCATCCTTTACACTACTCATTAATTTAAAACTTTACTTTAGCTTTTGTGTTTTTGTTATCAATTACAAAGTCATATAAATCATCTGGGCACATTTTTGTTTTAACAATTTGTGAATTGTAATATGCTGATTTACTGCTTTTCTCCCTTTCTGGAATGAAAATTTCTACAATTTTATTATCATCATTCTCGTTTTTGCATTTTATTGTTACAATTTTTTCTTTGGAACCATCAGTTTTAAAAATAAATTGAAGGAATCGAACAGGGCGTTTAATCAAATTAATTATGGTATCGAAGTATTCTTCATCTTTTTTTAATATTTTTGTGTAGAGTATTTTGTTTTTGCCTTCGTATTTAATGTAAATTAATGAATTGTCTTCAACATTATCAATAGAAGCAATTTCATTGGTAAGCTAAATGATAACAATTTATTGAAAATATGTAAGTGTGAGGATGTAAGTCGGAGGATCCCAGATCTCGGTAAGTTCATGTCCACAGATCTCGGTAAGTGGACATGAACGTTATCGAAAAATGATGGCTTTTGAATCCTAGAAGAAAAACATGATGACTGCTTAGAGTCCATCTTCATAAGGATTTAATCTAGAAAGCACAATTCTAATTGTTTTCATTCTAGTACAAGTCACTTATCCCTTATAACCATTCTTTTAATCATATTCCTTTTTTTGATATTGAGCCCCCACTTTCACACAGTTCTTTCCCTTCCATGAAAAAATTTTTTGACTGATAGATAGATAGAAACACATTCGATGAAAAAAGGTGATTTTTTAGGGAATTTACCCTATATAAATTTTAATACAAATTTACTAACATTTTTATTCAAAACTTTGTAAACTTTCAACGTGTATTTTTCCAAATTTTCATCATTATTTTCTTCCATCTCTTCAAAATGAAAACTGTCATATTTATCCGTTTCTCCTTCTTTAGGAAGTTCCCATTTATTACTAGTCAATTCCACCTTGAATCGGTGTCTTGTTTTATTAGCCAAAATTTGTAATCCTTTAGGATTATCTCGCCATGAAATCTTCACATGAACAGACAGAGCCGTTACATAGTAAAATATGTTTAAGAATATAAATAATAAAAATAAATACATTCTAAAATAAAAAATGTGTATAATATTTAAATTGCTGATTTTGAATTGTTGATTTTAAGCAATTTTTCAGAAATCTGATTTTTTATTTTCAGATTTGGGGTTGAATTCCATAGCCGGAATTAGGATTTACGAATCCGGATCATAGAAAGTTTAGGTTATTAATGGGAAATAGAGTTTGTTTCCTAATAAGTAGCTGAACAAAATATTATTAGGGTTATGAAATTATCAGAGTTAATATTAAAACGCTAGCCAATTTTCATTTCCCATCAAGGTCTTGGATCGATCAAGCCTTGGTCTCAGAACCTCTCTCAATCCTAGCCAAGAATAACTCAATTCCATTGAAGTTCACAACAACTCCAGAACATTTCCCTATTAGTTATCCCCTCCAACGAGAGATTCAGACATAATACTCAGCATAATGATTAAAGCATTGGTAGTTCCTATCTCTATATATACATATGTTATTAAAATATTAAAATTAATTTAAAAATCCTAAAATTTTGAATTAATATTGAAGTTAATTATTTATATATTGATAAAATAAAACTTAATAAGGGTGATGAATGCTCAAATTTTAAAATTTTAGACGAATTAAGAAATTATAAATAAATTCCCTTGCCTATTCAATCAGTCTTGTTTATTTGTCTATAAAGTGCATCTTCATATTATCGGCGGGAGAAATATTTTTCATTTCATGAATGAGGATAAAAAGAAAAAGCTAGACAAAAATATTAGCCAGGAAAATGGGCATGTTGAGTGCAAAAATTTTGAAAGATGAGCAAATTTCAAAACAAATATAGACAACAGAGTTTCCGTTGTTGTGCAAGAAGTCATATCTCGAGAACAGTTTTTCTAAAAAATATTGTTTCTATTGCTAAAGACCTCATACTACTGCTATTCGTCATAAAAACAAAGTGTTTTTAACCTATGGACCTCAAAATGTTAAGATAAATTATAAAAACAGAAAATCACAAAGTTGGAAAAAGAAAAGGATAGATTGTAAAATTTTAAGTAAAAAGATTCAACCTAAAATTAAAGATAAAGTTTCTAAAACGAAAAATTTGTCAGTAAATACATGTACTTTGTTTTTAAATAATTCATCACCGAATTTTATGATTTTGAAAACTAAAGTTTTCGCCAATAAATGAAAACAAGAAGATTGACATTTTCGTATTTTTGATACTGGAAGTTAATTATATTAAGAATTAGTTAAGAAATTAACTTTAGCAAAAAATGGTGAAGGTTTTCTTGAAGTATCTACGTTCCAAGAAAATAAGTCCAGGAAACGACGTACTGGAAAATATTCAATTGGTATTGTTAGAAAAAATGCGAAAGAAGAAATTGTTGAGACATTGAGTATTAATAAAATATCTAACGAATTACAGTCTGTTAATGTAATGAAAATTATTCTTATGTGAAATTTAATGAAATAAGGAAAAATTCAACTAGTAATTCTGTAAAACAAGACTTTTTGCTAGGAATAAAAGATTTTTGGAGATTTTTTAATGGAAAATCAGAGGTTTCAAAGGTCTTTTTTGATAAAGACTACATTGGAAATGTTATTTGTTGTGAAAATCGGAGAACATCGATAAAAAAGTTCATGCCAGTCCAAATCCATATATCTGTTCACTCTTTTGAAAAGATTTTGAATACTTCTGATATTAAATATTGGCGAGATTATCAAAATGTAAACATGGAAGGAAAAAATAATGAAACTCATAAATTACAGATTCCGAAAGTAAAACAATATGTAAATAAATATTATAGAGAAAAATGTCTTTGGAAAAAACAGACAAGTCTAAAAAATCAATATAAAAATAAATCACCTCAGAAATTAAATAAAAAAGATAAAATTGTTCAGAAATTAATTCTTCCAGTAGAAAAAATAATTAAAAGTTATGGAGAAGAATGTTTGTGTGAAAAAGAAATTATTTCAAGTAGCAAACATGTAAAGAATAAAAATAGATTACAGAGAAATTAGAAAGATTCGATAAAAGGAAATAAATTAATAGAGATTCGATAAAATATTTATTGACTATAGATAAAATATTAGTTGTTTTTTTGTAAAATGTTGATAATATTCAGTTTGATTAATTTAATTTGTGAATTAGTATATTTAAAAGGAATCACGGATTTAAAAGAAAATATAGTTGAAAAAATTCTTAAATTTGATAATAATAGATTTTACTAATTCCAAATTTGAAAGTAAATAGGCAAGATAAATTTAATTGGAAATACTTCAGAGAAACATTCAATTATTTTGTTAAATATAGAGATAAATTGAAAAGGTTTGATCATTTAAAATTTGAAAAGGATATACAAGATAAAATCTTAAAATAAAGCGATCAATTGTTTAAAGAATGTATAAAAAGTATATCGCACAAAAATGAAAGGAAACAAAATTAAAGATGTTAATCTCTAACAAAACTTGTGTACTTGCTTCTGAATTCTTTTTACTTATGCTACAAGGAGGCTGTGCAAAATGGATGCTACAACTCAAAAATATCTTATGCCGAATTTTAAAGAACAGAATGAGGTACTTAAATGATGCAGAGGACATTTCAAATAACAATAAATTTTAATCCCTTCATCTATTTTGTTTTAGCGCTCCCGAGTGTCGTGAAATGCGACTGTTGTATTATGTTTTTTACCCTTTTGTCCCTTGTCCTTTTTGTAAAAATATTTTTATTTTTAAAATTCTATTTTAGTCGTGATTATTCATAATACGCCCATTCTTTCAAATTCAGCATGTACTTTTTGTTAAATATTTATTTATTGTTTAAAATTCGCCTTTTTTCTCTATACAAGTTCTGGATTTTTTAATATATTTCAGAGCTCTTCCTATATTGTAAAGTTAAATTGTTATGTCAATTATAAAGTTAATTTTAAAGTTCAATTCTCTTTTTATAAATTTAAAGTTTAAAATTTTAATTTTAAATAAAGTTTTTATTCTTTTAAAATTAATTTTTTATTTTTAAATAAATGTTGAGAAAGTATTTCTCAACAGGTTGGAGTGTTATTGGAGTGTATGCTTCTAATAGAGAATTTACGTTATATAAAAATTTATCAAACTCTAAATCCAAAAAATTTGAATTCCATGTTTCGACTGGACAGTCTCATTTCTTAAGGAAGTCTTACGACGGAAAGATGAGTAATTAGAAGTCTAAAAGAAATATAAAAATATTTAATTTCCACTTAATCATACATTTAAATCTTTTAGACTTTGCTCCTTTATTATTTATTATTTCATATTATTCATTTCCGTTTCCTTATGATTTCCATTAAAACTAATAGGCTTTATCTCTCTTGTTTAATAAACTCTAGCAGCGACCTTCGATCGCTCAGAGCCTATAAATAATTGTAATCATCTCCCCTTAATCGGTTCACTCTCACGGTTCATCGGTTCATTCTTAGCTTCTTTCCTATTATTCACTAAAAATAAATAAGCTTCTCTCAACATTGTTAATTCTTTTAAAATAAAAATAACTTTTTCTTTAAATTGTTTTACCTTTATTAAATAAATATTGGAAAATAATTGAATTGGATTTAAAATACTTTTAAAAATAATAAAAGTTAACTCGAAGAAGAAAGAATTGGTTCTTCGAGCAATTAAATCTAAAAATTAAATAAATTCTCAAAGGAAGAGAATTTAGTCGAAAGAAGTAAAAATTTGCTCTTTTGACAAGTGGCGACCCAGACTACAAGAATTTTATTAAAATTTTAACTACAAAAAATTTTTTAAATTTCTGCAAAATTAGAAATTTAATAAATTGACGACAAAATAATTAATTGTCATCAAAAATTGATTCAGCAAATACAAAAATTTAATTTGCTACAAATCAAAAATTAATTATTAAAGCACATCAAAAAATTAATTGTGGTCAAAAATACTTTAATCAGTGATCGAAGAATAAATTGTAGGTTTTAAATAATTTAAATCAAATTAAAATTTTGAAAAACAAAAATTTAAACAAAAATTGAAAAAATGAGCCGCATGTTGAAATCACTCACAAAAAGAGCGGCAGAAAAAGTGCAAAATCTTTTAAAAATTAGTGCTCCAAAAGAGCCTGATAGCCAAGATGAAGATTACATTTTTGGTCTCTGCGAAACATTAGACCAATTATGTATAGAAATTGAAGAATTAACCGAGGCACACTCGGATTTGAAAGAGATTAATTCTAAATGGATGTCTTTAGTCCAAAGGTGCTCCCAATCAGAAAAAGCTGCAAATGAGACAGCTTATGAAGAAACGGCCTCTTTCTACAAAATAGAAGAGTGCTTAAACGAAGCGGAAACACGTCTTAGTGAACTTAAAGAGTTGGAAAGACGTCTTAAATCTGAAAAGAGAAAAGAAGAACGTAGAGAGGCAGCATCTACGACTAACATATCCAGAGGCCAACAGTCATTCGGGTTTAGCTTTAAACCTCCTAGGCAAGAAATTGGAAAATTTTCTGGTAAACAAATTGATTGGCCAGAATGGTGGCAAATAATTGAAGCCACCGTACATGAAACAGAAGGAAGCGAGGAAGTAAAACACGCTGTATTAAAACAGTGTGTGGAAGGAGAGGCAAAATCTCTTATCGCTGGTTTGAAATTAAGCGATTATCAAGTGGCTATAGACCTTTTAAAACAGAGGTATGGTAGTGAAGAAGAATATAGTAGAAATTTATACTTGCAACTTGAAAGTTTAAAGCCTTGTCAGAGCTTTCAAGATTGCCGTAAATTTTCTATTGAAGTTGAAAGGATATGCCGACTCCTTGAAAATAATGGCCAAAATATATCTGGGCAAGGAATATGGATGAGTTTAGAAAAGAAACTTACCATCCCAATTCTGCGCGAAATACAAACTACAAAAGCGCTGGCCAAAACGCTAAAAACCGAATGGGATACTACCGCTTTCAGAAAAGCCCTAAGGGAAGTAATCGAAAAAGAGGAACTTGTCCTCTTGATTCATGGAAAATTACCCGGAAAAACAGAAGTAAAGGAAAATAACCAAAAAA